GCACCTCCCTGGCCATAGGGTATCTGTTGGGAGGAATGGGAGGTCTCTGTGTTAGCAGTGAAATAATGTGGTTGCCACCTTGTGTGGCCCCAAGAACAGATCACATCTGCTGATTTTTATGTATTTGGAGTTAGCGTCTTTAAAGAAATCCGGACTTTAGATTTTGCTGGACGTTGAAATGCTGAATACAAACACACCCAGAGAATTTGTTCAGATTCGAGACAAATTAAAAATCAGATTTCTCTGCAGCTTTAGTTGGGTCCATTTACTGGAAGTCAGGTGCATATTATGTTTTCTGTGGGAGAGCTCAGTTGTTTTAGACGTTCTGCAGTATGATGCTAACTCAGTTCTGCTTTCTCTCTCTCTCTCTCTCTTATTATTTTATTTTGGCATCTCAGGGTTGTGATATAGTCTACTACGTAATTCACCCCAACAGTCCATTTGTGTGACTGGGGAGCCAGTGCAGATGGTTGGTATGGTCGGTTCCTCCCAGGCCTGAGTAAGGGGGCGGCATGATATTGATGAGTTTGCAGTGACAATGTCTTACACTGTTAGAACTGTGAGAGCTCTAATAACAGCTCCACCAACTCTGTTCCCAGAGCTCTTCTACAAGGAGCTGCTCAGAACCTAGTACATGAAATAGTGATGGAGGGTCACATCCCAGGCAGCTGGCACCTGGGGCCAAGTCAAGCATTTATAGGGTGATTTTGACACCAGTTTCCCTCCAGCCTTTCCATGGAAACGTGCAGTATCCCGGAATGGTTAAGACAGACTTGGGTTTGAGCCTTGGCTGAGCCACTTACTAGCTGTGTAGTCTTTGGCTGAGTTACTTAACCTCTCTGAACCTTGACATCCTGGAAGTTACAAGTCCAGGGACCTATCTTGGCTCTGCTACTGACAGGCTCTGGGATGATAAGGCCCCTGACAAGCTCTCTTTGAATTTCATGGTCCCTTCTTTATCCACTGAGAAACACACTAAGCTGATTATGTTCTCAGGAGAGAAAACAGCTAGAAATGCCTACTCCTTTTGGTTTTTAAGGATTTGTTTCAGGCAGGGCCTTGCTGTGGCAGCCGGTCCTAACACTGCCTTTCCTCCTCTGATCACTCTCGAGGGCGGCTGCCATGGCAGGAGGGCTGGCCTGTGCGTGGCTGTGCCTGTGCAGGGCTGAGGGACAGTGTCCCCGGCCTCCCAGACCACTTTGGGAGAAGGCCAGTGCTGAGGCTCCATCCTGTCCATTCCTGTGCCTTTTCGTGACCCCTGCAGCCTTCCTCTTTAGCAGACCTGATTGACGCACGTGTACGTGTGTGTGTCCAGGGCACACACATGGAGAAGGAGGTCGGGGGATGTGTGAGAAAGTGGAGAGGAAAAGAGGAAGGACAGGCAGCAGCAGCTGGGTTGCCAGGAAAAGGGCCATAGGCCGGGCCCTTTGGCCTTGGCCTTGTCAAAGCAGCATCCTAACATCCAGACCTGAGAGAGGCAGGCCAGAACCTAAGTCAGACACCAGGGAAGCCAGGAGCTGCCTGGGCCTCCCTCCCTCAGGCTCTCAGCGGCCCGGGCCTGGCCTGGGGCCAGCCTGTTACTGTCTGGCTGGGAACAAGCTGGTGAGTGCAGCTCCAGATAAGCGGCCATGGCTCCCTCAGTCCCCTGGAAAAGGGTGTGCTGTGGGCTGAGGAGCCCAGACGACGAGGAAAAGAGCAAAGGCTCTGAGGTTACGGGATGAAAGATTTAGAAGCTGCCAAGTCATGCACACAAAGGTGTTTCTGGCCGAGTGATGTCCTTGGGAACAAAGGATCTTGTGGGTAAGAGCACAGAAGGTTTTGTCTTGTAGGTCCAGAACCTGCCTGCAAGCTCTCAGAACAGGTCTGATAAGAGCTCCCTGCCGGTTGTCTGAGAGAGGCCATCTGCCTTTTCCTCCCCCTGTAGTCTAAGCCCAGGAAAGGACCGAGACCTCCCTGCCCATTCAGCTTCCATGGCCAGATCTGGCTCGTAACACCTTGAGGGGGTGTTGCTCAGTGGAGAGGCGGGTCACAGGGAATCTGTTACCAACAATCACTACCAACATTTGGGAGAACTTTGCTTAAAAAAAAAGAAAAGGGTAAATTATAGTGCATTTGTCATGTCCACAGAAGGTCACTGCTACTGCCTCCCATGTTGGGGTGCTTCCTTAAGTGGGAGAGAAAGTGGGTTGGGTGCATGCAGGGCTTTGGAATGCACACAGCCCATGCTGGTCTACGAATGTGAAGAAGCAGGGGAATCCAAACCATTTGAAGTGTGAGGAGTAGGGTCGTGATCCCAGGACTGTGCACAGACTCCTCTCCATCAGGGACCCAACTAGTAACCCTGTTTCCCAAATGTAATCTCTTACAAATCATTCAAGATGCAACACGGAAGTCCAGTCTCTGTCCAACTTCTCCCTTCTAGTCCAGGCAGACTCAGTCACGCATGTCACCGTAGTGTCCCCGGAGCCCTTCATTCGCTGCTCTGCAGGGCACTTAGCACACCATGGTATTACCACAGTGACTACACAGCCCATGATTTTCACTGCATTCCTGCTTTCAGATACTTTGTTATGTGGGTCCCATCAATTCTTACATTATGGAAATTTTGGCCTTGACGGATGTTCCCCCTCAGAGAAATCCTTCGTCAGATCTGCTGTGCCGATTTTGGGGGATAGAACTGGTAGACACTGGATAGATCCTTGTGCATTCATGCATCTGCCACCTCCCCCAGACTGAGTTCCTAGAGGTCAGAACCAGAGTTTTCACCGGCTCCCCCAAGCCTGGCTCCGTGACCGGCACAGAGTAGGTGCACATCCGTGGTTGGCTGCCCCACGTGACATAATATCTCATACCTGATTGCACTGAGTTTCCACAACAACCCTGCAGTATTCTAACTCCTGTCCCCATTTTACAGAGGGAAAAATTGTGGCTCAGGGGAGCTAAGTAACTTCCTCACAAGCAAACTACTACTAAGAGGTGGATGCAAACCTAGGTCTTTCTTTTCTTTTCTTTTCAAGATTTTATTTATTTATTTGACAGAGAGAGAGAACAAGAAGGGGGAGCGGCAGGCAGAGGGAGAGGGAGAAGCAGACTCCCCGCTGAGCAAGGAGCCCGATGCAGGGCTCCATCCCAGGACCCTGGGATCATGACCTGAGCCAAAGGCAGACGCTCAACCGACTGAGCCACCCAGGTGCCCCAACCTAGGTCTTTCTTCCTACACTATATACCTTTCAGCTTAGTTCAAGCTCAGGGATGTCCTGAAATCATTGACTCAGAAACCAGAGATGTTTAAGCAAGAGGAGGTCTGTTGGGTAACCACTGAGGTCTGCCAGACGTTAGGAGTATGACTTTCAGTGGGGTCTTCATTTGGTGCCCAAGGGCACGTTTTACCATCTGGGCATTCTGTCGAGACATATTAGCACACTCTGCCCTCTCTTTTGGAGCTTCTGATTTAAAACAGACATACATACAGATGAGCTAGTCATCTGCTGTAGAATGCCAGCACTAAAAAGGGACTGTTTATTTATTTCAATCTCCTTGCTTTAAGATAAACCAAAACGGAAGGAAACTGAAAGCTACCAAGTATTGAGTGGCCCAGCGCCACTCCAGACACATTTTTTTTTTCAGTATTTCATCTCATCTTTGGGTAGGCATTATTTTAATCTATCCCCAACTGACAGATTGAAACAGGAAACGCAGCCTCTACAAGGTGACTTGCCTAATATCCCAGAGCTAATCAATAGGGGAATCAGAATTTGAATCCAGGTCAGTCTGTTCAAAGCATGTGTTCTCAACCCACAGACCCAGTAGAGGGCCTTCCTGTGAGGTGTGAGGTGCTGTAGGCAGATGCTCCCCACCTTGGACCTGCAAACAGGGTTGCCCTTGTCTTTTGCATGGGCCACCCCCTTTCTGGAATTAGCAAGAAGCTGCTCTTCCCAGTACTGGTGGTTATTTTCAGAATTGTGAAATAAGTGTAAAACAGGATATTTTCAGTAAAAATATCTCCCTGCTTATACAACGAAGTGGTACCAAAATCACTGACGTGGAGCAGATATGTGATTAGTTTCTGCAAAGATCAAGCCAATTCTCATCTGACAGCCCATCTGGAAGGCTCACAGGGTCCTGGATGAATGAGAGGCTGAGCTTCAGGGGGCTGGGCTCATGCTCCCCCCAGAGTTCCAGAGCACAGAGGAGTCAGCCCTAGATTTAAAGTGTAAAGGCCTGAATTCAGATCCAGCCTGAGGATCCTAAGCCTGTGAGCAAGTTACTCTTCTTTTCAGTTAACCTTCCGCAAGGAGCTGCAGGGGTTAGTGATACAGTATTCGCGAAAGTGCCCCATGCTGGTACTCTGCTCAAGCTTCGGAACATACCAGCAACCCTGTTCCTCCCCCATAATGATATTCTGAGAATTACCATATTTTGAGATGAACCGTGTATTTAAGAGTATTTGGAATTGGCACTGAAAAGTCGAGACAGCAGCAGACTAGAAAATGTGTGGGCTTCAGAAAGTACTCCTTCCCATCCCCCAGCCGCTACAACGTGTTTATCATACTTTTGCCATGATAACACTTTCTTTTCCTTCGGCTTCTTGTTTCTTCGGTGAGCATTTACCGATTGCCAGATCGGTGCCAGGCACGGCACAAGAACAGGAGTTTGCGGGAGAGACATCCTGCTTGCCAACACAGAGCATCTCAGCAGAGCCCAGAAAACTACAGGCCTGGGGCTCGTTCCCATCAGAAGCCAGAGAACATTTGTTCTCTTCTGAGCCTCTCCCCATTTCCTGGTTCTACCTTGGAGCATCCATCTAAGGAACGTGGGCCCCCCCTCACCCCACCGGCTGCCGAGGCTGGGCCCAAGGGATCGCTGGGGGATTGCGCAAGTCTCTTGGCCCGGCTTCAACTCACCATGGCTTTTCCCCCACTTGTGGTCTTAGCCAAGGGAAGCCTGGCGCCTGGCTCTGAGGCCCCAGATGGAGCCGGCTCCCTCCCGGAAGGACTTACCCGATGGCTTGTCTGTGGAGGACGGGAGGCTGGTGAGGGTGGGCATAGTGGGCAGAGGGGGAGGCAGCACCTTCAGGTTCTGATCACTCTGGATCTCGTTGGTAGAGATCTGATTGATGATGCGGCTGTAGGGGGGCGGCTGGTAGACCCGGGGCGGGGTGGCCGGGGGCGGCTGGGGCACGGGCCTGGCAGCCGGCACCCGCTGGCAGTGCTCCTCGAGCTGCGCGATGATCTCGGACTGGTTGTGGGCCAGCGTGGCCAGGTGCTGGTACTTGTGCTCCAGGTCCTTGTACTTGCTGGCCAGCTGCAGCATGTCGGCCGTCTGGTTGAGGATCCGGTTCTCCAGCTGGGAGAGCTCCAGCGCGTTGTCCCGCTTGCGGATGATCTCGTGCAGGAGCTGCATGTACAGCTGCGTGACCCGCGAGTTCATGTTGCGGCTCTCCTTGCGCAGCAGCTTCACCTCGCTCACGATGCCGCCGTCCACCTCCACCAGCTGCTGCAGCGTCTCGATCTGCCGCTTCTGCTTGAGCAGCTCGCTGTTGAGCAGCTCCAGCTCCTGCTTGTGCACCCGGTTCTCCAGGAGCACCTCGGGCTCCTTGGAGTTGACGCAGATGGCGCCTGTGACCCGCTGCTGGGGCACGATGAAGGTGTAGGTGCACTTGTCCGAAGCCTCGCCGGCCCGCTTGTACCTGTTCAGGTAAATGAACTCGCTGGGCGAGCCCTCCTCAGCACCCTCAAAGCCTTCCTTCTGGCCTGCAGCCGCTCCCACGGCAGCCAGCAGTCCCAGCCACCAGTATGTCACGCACAGCGGCCTCATGGTCCTTGCAAAATGGTGGTTCCTCTTGGCGAACGGAGCCTAGGAAAACCTGAAAGTAAACAGAAGGGAGAGTCAGGAACGGTGTTGTCACTGCCAGCGGCCTGTGCCATAAATGAGCTCAGCCTTCTCGCCAGGCAGATCTTTCCAAAAATACAGCTTCAGGAGGCAGCCCTTCTGGACGCCGCAGAAGGAGACAGGCAGTCCTCAGCAGAGGTAGAGAGGAAAGGGGAGGGGACCGGGGCATCTGAAGGCAGGAGGCCACGGCCCTGCCACTCCCGGAGCCAGCCCCAAAGCCCAGCTCCCTCGCCGAGCTCCTGGCCTAAGCCTGAGAACCACACGAGGGCAGCTCGAAGCTGGGGCAGGGAGGCAGAAGGAGGCTTGTCTGGTCTCCCTTCTCTGCCTCATGCCTCCCCCCCAACCCCCGTCTCCTCGTTCTACATGTTCATAACCCCCTGGGCTTTCCTGGTGTAGCACCCATCACAGTTGTAGTGCATAGGGGTTCTCTGTGATCTCTGCTACTGGACTCCACACTCCGTGAGGGCAGGCGCTGTGGCTGATTCCATCCTGTGTCCGCAGGATGCTGCACTAAGCAGGCTTTCAGCAAATGTTTGTTAAACGCTCGAATCACTGGACACAGTATGGAATGTGTTCAGTTGGTAGTGGACGGTGTCAATGGGAGGATGTGTCCAGCCACATGGCTTTGGTCTGTGTGTTAGAGACAAGCTAAAGAGCCCAAACAGGAACAAACAACTGAGCTCTTCTAAATCCAAATATTTGCAGTAGCCAGTAACTGCAAGGTCCTGGCCACTGCAATGTGATTAAAGCCGGCGGAAGCGGAAAACAGACATGTGTCTCTGGATTTGTTTCAGTTCTGCTCTTGGACCATTTGTTCCTTCACCAGATATCCGTCAAACATCTGTGGTGTGCCAGGCAGCATGCTGGCTGCTGGAGGTACAGCCCCAAACAGGCCAGAGGCCAGCCCTGCCCTCACAGGGCTCACACACCACGGCCCAGCCCCTAAGAGCCACGGAGCAGCAGCAACTGACATAATCGGACGATTCAAGAAAGCTTCCCTGAGAAAGTGACCTTTACACTCACCCCTTGAGGGATGAGCAGGAGTTAGCCAGGCCAAGAAGGAGGGGACGGGCATGCACAGATCCCTCCTCTCGCCTACTCAAGGACATCGCTCCAGCAGTTCTCCCCCATCTCTCCTGCGTGATCACATTGTTCCTACAATCATGCTGTTATTTCTCTCAACTTAAATCAATCCTCTCTTGATCTCACATCCCCCCCTCCAGCTACTGTTCCGTTTCTCTGCTCCCGCTTTTAGCAAAACCCTCCGAAGGGTTGTCTGTACTCAGTTTCCAGAAAGTCTCTCTCTTTCTGTTCTCTCTTGAGCCCACTCCCATCAGGCCTGGCCCCTCCCCTCCACTCCAAGTGCTCTGGACAGGATCACCAGTGGCCTCACTTGCCAGGCCAAATGGCCTGTTCTTAGTCCTCATCAGTACTTGCCTCTCCACACTGGGTGATGTGGTCAATCAATCCCTCTTTGGACTTCCTTTCCTGAAGATCACCCTTTCCTTCCTTTTCACTGGCTGCCCTTTCTGTCTCCTTTGCTGGTTCTTCCTCCTGTTCCTGTCCTGGGGGACCCAGAGCTCAGTCCTCAGACCTCTTGTTTACCTCGGTGATCTCATCTGGCTTTGTGGCTTTCAGGCGCTGCTAACTCCCACATTTATTTGACTCCAGACGCATGCATCCAACTGCCTCTTTGACATTTCCACTCGACTGTCTACTAGGCATCTCAAACTTACCCAGAAGTGAACTGGTGTCTCACACCTCCATCCCAACATGTTCACCCCAGGTTCTCCTATGTTAATAAACAGCAACTCTGCTCTTCCAGTTGCTCAGGCCAACAGCCTTGAAGTCATCCTCGACTCCTCTCTTTCTTTCATATCCCGCATCTAATTCACCACCAAATTGTAAGAGCAATACCCTGGACGTATTCTCAGAATCCCGCTGCTGCTCCCCACCTCCCCTGCACCCTGGTACAACCCACCTTCGCCTTTCACCTGGACCTAACTGTCTGCTGCTGGACCTGCTCCTGCCCTTTGTCCCCCACCCAGCAGCCAGAGTGATCCTTTTTAAAAAGTCCGATCCTCTGCTCAGAATCCTCTGGGAGCCCCCTCATCTCCGAGAAAAAGCTTAGAAGGCGTTTCTGGCTCTCCCGGACCTGGCCCCCCTTCCTCCCTGGCCTCATCTCTGACTCCCCTCATCCCCCTGCTCATGCCACTGTAGCCACCCCAGCCTCCTGGGTTGTCCTTATGCTTGCCAAGCACGCTTAGGACTCAGGACCTTTGTACACTGTTCCCTGTCTACACTCTTACCCCCTTTCCTCATCGCTCACTCCCTCACCTCTTTAAGGTCTTTGCTGAGATATCGCCTTCCCAGGGAGGCCCACCCTGATTATTTAAAATTGTAACCTCCCCGCATTGTCAGCAGATGTAGAATGTTTCCCCACCCCATCCCATGAATGGAGCTGCCACGAGGGCAGGGGGTTGTCTGCTCCATTTGCAATGCCAAGCACGTGGCCTGGAATATGCAGGCACTTGATCAATATTTCTGGCCTGAGTGAAAAGGCACGCCTGCCAGTGGCTGCCCCACGGGTGGGGGGGGCTACGGAGAGGCAGGGCCAGGGGGGCCCGTGAAGGTGATTGCCTGAGGGGGTGCCAGGTGTACGGGAGGAGGCCCTTTCCTTCCTTCCTTCCGTCCTTCCGTCCTTCCTTCCTTCCTTCCTTCCTTCCTTTTCATTCATTCATTCATTTTTTTTTTTAAGATTTTATTTCTTTGAGAGAGAGACAGAGACAGAGCATGAGCAGGGAGAGGGGCAGAGGGAGAAGCAGACTCCCCGCCAAGCAGGGAGCCTGACGTGGGGCTTTATGCCAGGACCCCAGGATCATGACCTGAGCTAAAGGCAGACGCCTAGCCAACTGAGCCACCCAGGAGCCCCGGAGGCCATGTCTTATACTTATCAATAACATCCATAGAATCTATTTACTGAGAACCCACTATGTACCTGCCCCTGCACAAAACATTTGCAAGTATTTTCTACTTTAATGTATTCTCACAAGGTAGATGCTGTTAGGATTCTGTTGTCATTTCCATTTTACAGATGAGGTAACTGAGACTCAGAGAGGCTAAGTGAATTGCCTAAGATCACACAGTTGGGAGGTGGCAGAACCAGGGATAATTGGCGGGGTCAGGAAAGCTTCTCTCATCTGATCTCATGTATTCTAGCCTTCAAACTCTTACTGACTACCCAGAAATGTACTTAATCTGGTCTTCAGTACTAAAAAAAGGATTAGCATGATCACTTTCTGACTTCACGTTAATTTATGCTAAAATCAGCCAGACACAGAAGCTGAAGGTTATGTCTTCCCCAGGCCCCTCTGGGGCTTCTTTGGTGAGCAGCCTAGGTTCGGGTACCCCAGCTGGTGGGCTGTTACAGAACAGACCCTGGGCTCCCCAGAGCCACTCAGAACTGTTTTCTGCTTCAGTGAGGAAGCCCACGTGTGGTTCCGTGGCCAGCTCAGGCTTTGGGGCCAGGCAGAGAAAGGTGTTCGGCAGCCTTCGGTCTGGGTTGGGCTACGACGTAGGGCTGCAGTGACGTTTACTGGAAACCGGGCCGAGTTTATGAATGTTTGCCTGGTTTCCACAGTGCTCTGGCTGCTTCTGCACCAGCCCGCGGCCACGCCTGGCCCGGAACAGTGGGGAGGAGCAGCGCTGCAGGCCAGGGCGGGCAGGCCCGTGCCTTCCCACCAGCGCCCACCTGCTGGTGACAAACACCTCGCTGCGCTCCGGGTGCCATTGTGGGTGCTGCTGTGCTCCTCTGCCTTGGCCAAGAAACTGCCAGGGGCCCAGGGAGGCAACCTGGCTCCAGAAAAGGGTTGGCTTCCAAACCTTCCCAGGCCTCAAGACCTGGCAAGGTGTCACTGTTCATCACTGAGTCCTGTCCCCTCCCACAAGTGGACTCTCGAGCTTCCCGAGCAAAGCCTGTGCCCTTGGACTTGCGATCCTGAAGGCTGAGCCTCTTGTGTGAAACGGTGCGATCCAACCCACCTTGCACACTGCTTAAGGGACAGAGAAATGCTTCCCAAACTAGAGAGGGCAATAACACGATAGCGGCACGATGGCGGACAGCAAAGCGGGACTTAGGAGCACCGACCGCGCCTCCCTGCGGAGAGACCACAGTTAATGCTCCTCCCCCGTTTCTCAGAGGAGGCACTTGTGCCGGTCACAGAGCTGGGCCCTGAGCAGGAGCTCTGTCTGGCCTCACCGCCCAGCCCTAAAGCTGCCCTCTGGTCAGACTGGGTCCCAGCTGCCCTGCCGTCCCTGGATCTTACACAGTGCTGGGCAAGAGACGGGCAGACACAGCGCAGGGCCGTGCTGTCTTGAAAGAGCATTTCTCGTGATTGTTCGATTAAAAAGAGCACCAAACTTGATAATTAACACTCATACAGGTTTTCAGGTTCACAAAGCCCTGCATGCGCATTATCTCATTTAATCATCGCAACACTGAGAGCTAGTTAGTTGTGCCATTTGGAGGGTGAGAAAATTGCAGCTCCAGAGGGTGTCTGGTATCTCGCTCGAGATGGCATTGTTCGTGGTGCCACCGGCTGTGAGGCTCACGATTCTGGGTCTTCCTGTTGCGTTCCCCTGGGGTCTGGGCTTGGCGGGAGTGACTTGGGGCCGGGTGGGTTCCAGAAGGAAGGGAAGGAGCAGGTGCTCCAGCCAGGTGGTGGTTCCCCACTCCTACTTTGTAACCGGGGACACTGAATCCCAGACAGGCTAAGTGACTTGCCCAGGAGCATGGAGCGGATAAGAACTGGAGCTGACCCAGCTGAGAGCTCAGGTCAGCCTGATACCAAGGGCTGGACTCTTTGCTCTGCCCTTGGCTTTGGAGTCATTTGTTTTCCTTAAAGATTCTAACCCCCTTCTTCAGTTTTCTGCTACTTTGGCAGCTCTTAGTGGGCAGTAGTGAGTTTGTTTACT